AATTACTTCCCCTAACACTGGTCCAGAAATCCAATGAAAAGCAGGTGTCCAGGGTTGAACAGGACCATTCGTATTTTATTTCATACTGAATCTTAAACCTAGTTTCAATTTAAATGTACCATTCTATACTTCTGATTCCTGCTTGTTAGGGGAAGTAATTCAGTTGCATCTATCTTGTAAGATAGGGGTATCAAACTCAAGGCCCATGGGCCTGATCTGGCCCATGGGGTGCTTAGATCTGGGCCACGGGGCCTCCTTGGAAACAGTAAAGGACCTCGCAAGCTCAGTTTTTGCTGGCAAATGATTGTAGGATGCCATCCCAGCTGAAAATGGAGCTCGCAAGAGCCACACGTTCTCTCCCCCCACCTACCCCTGAGTTCTGTTTTCACTGGCAGAGAGTTACAAGAGGCTGTCGCAGCCAGAAATGGAGCTCAGGAGCCCATTTTCGCTGGCGGAGTACTCGGGCTGCCACAAGAACCCCCCCCAACATGAATGACATCATGCTGGCCATGCCCACCCGGGCAACACCCATCCTGACCCTCCAGTTGTCAAACACAACCCTGATGCAGTCCTCAATGAAATCAAGTTTGACACCCCTTTTGTAAGGGGAATGAATGTAATCTTCAGCTACAAGCTGGTTTTTATTGTGAAATGGGAAGAAGAAAAGGGAACTTCCCCTTTTGACTTAATCAATTATTTGACATAATCAGATAATCTGATGGGAAGAGGTTGAAAAGGTATCAGTGATAACTGTTTTCTTCATCATGTTCGAAGTGCAACGTAAATGCTCAAGGCTTGGAGGAAGAAATAAAATAAATGCGATAACTTATATGAATTATGCCACTCTTGTATTTTTTACTGAACTTGATAGTTATTTACTGTTTTTGCACTGACGTATTCTAATTCTGTCACCCCAGTTCTCTTACACATGAGAACCACCACAGCAATTATTATAAAACAAACATTGCAAGGAAAATTTAAAAGGCAAAACACGGCCACTGTAAAAGAAATGAAACTTCCCTTTAAGTGGTGTTGTTTTTAAAAAGGTTCTTATTTATTTCTGGAAAGTGAAATCTCAAAAATTTGGCCCCATTTGTACGAAGCTGCTTTTGACTTTTAATTTGTCCTGATGACTTTTCAACGCAACCAACCTTTTCCCATTACACCTGTCAGGGAATTTTGCATAGCTTATGAATGGATAAGTCCTCTGAATTTATGGCAGCCTTTCTGAAGAACCATTAGGATGTTCAATTAATGTTGCACAAACAATGACTAAGGACAGTTGTGTGACCTTGTCAGCACCAAGGATCATGGAACAGAATGCTTTGGCTGCTGCTTCCTAGGAGGTGATGCTTTGTTTTCTAAAAGGATGGAAAATCTAATTAGGCTATTAATCAGCAATACATCAGAGCTGGTATGGTTTTCAGACTTCCTACTATGCAATGTAAAAGGGAACTGGTGGCTCAGTGGCTAAGATGCTGAGCTTGTCGATCAGAAGGTTGGCAGTTCAGCTGTTCGAATCCTTAGCACCATGCAATGGAGTGAGCTCCCGTTACTTGTCCCAGCTTCTGCCAACCTAGCAGTTCAAAAGCACGTAAAAAATGCAAGTAAGAAAAATAGGAACCACTTTTGGTGGGAAGGTAACAGCGTTCCGTGCGCCTTTGGCGTTTAGTCGTGTCGGCCACATGACCATGGAGACATCTTCGGATAGTGCTGGCTCTTCGGCTTTGAAACAGAGATGAGCACCGCCCCCTAGAGTTGGGAACGACTAGCACATATGTGCGAGGGGAACCTTTATCTTTACAGCAATACATGATATCAGAACTAGTTAAGTTTTCAGACTTCCTTCTATGCAATGTGTTGGAGGAACTGTTCAGCTGCTTTTGGCTGAGCAAATGTGTTTGGGTTGATGTTAATACACACTTTTCAGATAATCCAGGCAAGAAGCACAACCATCAATAATAATAACAACCTTTTATTGTAAGGTTGCATGAACGCATTTCTCCCTTCCTCTCATTTTAGTCTCCAGAAAACTACACAAACATATCCCTCTCCTTCTATAATTTCTTGTATATGACTGTTGTCCTGTCTGTGACTTTTGTTCCTTGTCTGAAGGTCATTTCCTCGTACTATTTACAAGGACGAAAAGTCAACTCTTAAGTAGCAGTTGCTGTCATGCCTATAAAATAGATCAGTTTCTGGTTAAAAGAACTATATGCAGAATATTCTGTGTTCCTGACTGAATCTTTCTAAATTTTATACTTCAGAAAAGCTGAAAATTCTTGTTGACTGAGAGCAGGAAAACACACAACAGACTATCCAAATTGACATCCGTACAGTAATATGTAGTATGTGTATGTGTGTACCCCCATACCTACAGACACACAAGTGTGTTTCTATGTGTGTGTGCATAAGAGCCAAGGTGGCGCAGTGGTTAAATGCAGCACTGCAGGCTACTGCTAGATCAGCAGTTCAGCGGTTCAGATCTCACCGGCTCAGGGTTGACTCAGCCTTCCATCCTTCCGAGGTGGGTAAAATGAGGACCCAGATTGTTGGGGGCAATATGCTGACTCTCTGTAAACCGCTTAGAAAGGCCTGAAAGCCCTATGAAGCGGTATATAAGTCTACTGCTATTGCTATTGCTATGTATGTGTGTGTATACACACACACACATTGACATATTTATGTGAATACAGATAGTCCTCAATGTACAAACACAATTGAGCCCAAAATTTCTGTTGCTAAGTGAGACAGACATTGTGAATCCCCCCCCCCCATTTCACAACCTTTCTTGTCATAATTGTTAAGCGAATCACTCCAATTGTTAAGTTAGTAACACAGTTCTTAAGTGAATCTGACTTTCCTATTGAACTTTGCTTGTTAGGTTACAAAAGATGATCCCATGATCCCAGTTTTGTTTGTTTCATTTACGTAGACACACACACACACACACACACACACACACACACACACTTTATGTATCTTTGTTTTTAGCAGCTGTATCTTTAGGCAATGAATTGCTGGCAGTGTCAATACTTTAAAGCCCGGGTGTCAAACTCACCGTGTCACGTTGCCATTATGTAATGTTTTGCGACATTGTTCCCCTTTATGAAGTTTGGTTGGGCGTGGCCTGCATGTGACCCCTCTGGCTCATGGGCCACCAGTTTGACATCCCTGCTATAGAGCGTACAGACATTTGTGAGAGTGATATTGAGAATTGATAACATCGGGATTCTTCCTTAAAATCTGAGCAGAACACTTGGAAAGATTATTATCACAGAATGTAAATGTCAATGGAGAAGGCATTGGTCTAAATTTTTCTTACCATCCATTAGTAAAAATGAAAAGCTATCCTGTCTCTTGAAGGATCTCTGGTGAATTGATGCTGTTTATATGCATGCATTTAAAACTATAGCAGATAATAGTCACCTGTTGATTTCTACTGCCATTTATCAGCTACACAGAAGTGTATGCTCAAATAACTTTGAATGTCTTTAAAAGCTAGCATCAGATCCATTATTTTAAAATGTTGTTTACTGTAGTTTTCGAAAAAGTTGCTCTTGCTGAGCTTTTATCCAACATAAAAAGGTAGAAGGAAAGTTTTTAAGGAATAGGAAATTCCCTTCTGTAAACTGTAAGCCTTGTCGATTCATTTCTTGTGTTTTTGTCTCTTCCCGATCCATATTCTGAGTTAGATCTAATGACCAAAGAATCTTCTTGCACAAATGTCAAAGAAACACCATAGTGAATATTAATGAATGTTAATAAAGAGAGGCAGGCAGGCAAGTTTTGCATGAGAGTAGAATCAAGAAATAAGAATAATATATCAGAGTATTATTTAGGGTATCGGGGTGTTCGATCTGTACATTATGTAAATCAGCCAGCAGGCTGATTTATAGCAATAGACTTCAACTTTTCTGATGCTGCTTTTTGTGGATCTAAAGAATAATTTTCAGGCTAATTTTACAGAAATGTTACATTAACTGGCAGAGTAATTTCCATCCAAGTGCGGCTCTTAGCTATTTTTGTCCCATTGTCCTGGTACATTTTCTATGTGAAAAATTGGGCCACGGAGTTCCACTTAAAAATAGAATAATTTCAAATCACACCAATTGTTTTTAAGCAGTGGCCTGAGTGTTCCTAGTATACTTTTGACCAGCATGTTCTGATCAGTTCTGGAGAATCGGTAGCGGAAATTTTGAGTAGTTCAGAGAACTGATAAATACCACCACTGACAGGCCCCGCCCCCATCTATTCTGTGCCTCCCAAGACCCAGCTGATTGGGAGGGAATGGGGATTTTGCAGTATCCTTCCCCAGCCATGCCCATCAAGCCACGCCCACCAAGCCATGCCGTGCTCACCAAGCCACTTCCACAAAACCGGTAGTAAAAAACATTGAATCCCACCACTGCTTTTGACATAAAGTGTTTGCTCCAAGAAAGAAGGATTTTCTTTTTGGTTTGATTCCAAATAGTTACCTGTAACTTAAGGCGGTTGTTTTATGTTCACTGATTATAATAAAAATGAAATAGATATGATTTCAGGGACCAGGTGGAAAAGACCAGAATGACGCATTCAGGGTTTTCCTTTTTAGGTACATATAGGTATAATTCAATAGCCTGCTTTGTCTTTAAAGCTGCTTGCAAATCAGAAAACTTTATATAACCAAAAAGGGTATAAATATTAGGCTGTCTGCCCGCATGCCTTACCTGTCTTTAAACTCTTTGGGGCTTACGCACATGCGCACAGCCCCTGTGCGACACTCCACCAAGCAGCTGCATTATCACAGAGGCATCACTGAATGGTAAGACGCAAGTACGCATGCTGAGCGCATTCATGTAGAGGACGTCGGGCCCCGTTGAAACCGTACCGGTTGCAACGGGATCCAGAACCCACCACTGTTGTAGTCCACTACTGGCCTGCAGAGCTGGCAGCAGAGTCATACAGTGGGGAGGTTGGGGAGGAACATGGGCCAATTCTGGAGTTTGGGGAAGGCTCTGTTGAGGGCTGTGTGTCAGAGGCAGAGAGGGGGCCAAGGCCAAGGCAGACAGTGTGAGCCTGTTCCCAGTGTGCACATGCGCAGAGCTGCCAGAAGGCAAGAACAGTTAAGCCAAAAGGGGTGACTTGTGAGTAAAGCTTGGAGATGATTGCCCCCTCCCATAAGACATAAAAGAGGAACAAATGGACATGACCCTTTGCAGGAAGCAATTTTGTTCATTCTGGTTGGTTAAAAATCTGAGAAGCTCCGTTTAACTCTGTGCTCCGCTTGGCCTTGTGAAACTAATTGGCAGTTAGGTCTCTGGCAGTGTTTCAAGGGAGATAAAGATGGGTGCTTATCAGATTACCCTGAAAGACTGGCATACATCTGTCGGACTCCTCACAGACTGTTTGTGAATCATTACAGGCTGTGAATGTCCATAATTCACAGCCGTTTAAATAAAAGAGGGTTTTGGGGACTAAGCATGTGATTTATGCTTTATCAGGAAGCCTAGGTCAGAACAGGGAGCTGTGTTGGTCTGCCATCTAAGAGAAGCTGGGAGCCTATCTGTAGCAGCTTCCTTAACATGCCATGGTGTCACCAAAATAACTGTAGAGTAGCAGTGATATGGAAGCCTGAAACGTATCTATAACTTCTATTCTGTCCATTTTAACCTTCCGTTCTTTCTGTGTCTCTTTCAATGACAGGATCCGGATTCAGGCTGTCAATGAGGTTGGAGCTGGGCCTTTTAGCCACTTCATTGCAGCAAAGACCCGGTCGTTGCCACCTTTACCCCCTCGGCTAGAATGTACTGCAGCGGGTCCCCAAAGCCTGAAATTGAAATGGGGGGAGAGCAGCTCCAGACAGCACACGACTGACGACATGGTCTATCTCTTACAAATAGAGGACAAGAACAAGAGGTAAGAAAGCATGTAGCTCAGATAGCACAGTCCATCTATAAATGAGAATCAGCCCAAACGGGCTTGGCTTAGTTCTGGTTGTAGGAAAGGCTATGAGTGTCTTCATGAGTAAGCTGGTTGGTCTTGTGTCATTAAATTCTTTCCGCTGACACTTGGCAGTGAGAGAATAAGTTGGAGATGAGGACCCCCAGTGTTGTTAATGCAGGTAGTCCTCAACGTACGACCATAATTGAGTCCAAAAATGTAGTTGCTAAGCGAGACAGTTGCCGAGTGAATTTTTGCCCCATTACTCACGACGGTTGTTAAGTGAAGCCCTGCAGGTGTTAAGTTAGTAACATAACTGCAGATGGTGGGGAGAGATATCATCTATCTCCAGTCTACAACACAGTCCTTTCAACAGTTCCAAGAAGGCTCCACACCCATTTGCATCACTCAAGTGATATGATGACATAGGTGTCATCCAGGTGGCCTCGGCGACTCTCTAAAACAATGCAAAGAATAGTATAGAATAGAATTTTATTATTTGTATGCCGCCCTTCTCCGGGAGGACTCAGGGCGGCGAACAATTCAAGGGGGAAAAAGGGGATCATAAAAAAAAACACAAAATACAAATAATAAAATTCTATTCTATACTATTCTTTGCATTGTTTTAGAGAGTCGCCGAGGCCACCTGGATGACACCTATGTCATCATATCACTTGAGTGATGCAAATGGGTGTGGAGCCTTCTTGGAACT